CGAATTTTAACGGTGGTTTTATATGTACAATGAGTACATGCATGTATCTTACTTGTAACAGATGCTATGAAAGCAGGATGTTTCTTAACTATATGATCATCTAAATTCACTTTATGTTTGAATGTAGCATTGCAGTGAATACACAACATGCTCGACTTGGAGTTATTTTCAGTACAAGAATGTTTCAACATATGCTTTGATAAACCACCTTTCATCGTGGTTTGATAAGTACAGTGGGTACATTCAAATGGATTAAGTGAAGGTGATGCTATAAAATCAGGTTTTTGATTCCTGTGTTTTTGCATATGTTTAATTAGAGAGGAAATATAGCACGTGGTATAGTTGCAATTATAACAACTAAGCGACTGCCGGCTGGTTTCAATACACATTACGCCATCCTGTATTCTTGCGATTTTCCGCTGCGAAACACTGAAAGAGACCACAATGTTATTGTTTGGGACACCATAATCGATATTTCCGCATGACACTTTATAGTGAATATACAAGCTCAGATTGAAGTTGCTTTCTGCCCCAGAATGTGTTTGCATACCGACCAAACTGAAAAGTGATGTTTCAAGGTGGCTTTGCATTACAATTGATGCTCAGAGCTCAGAATGTATCTTAATTATATGATCATACAGGGTTTGTCCGGAAAGTAATAGGACTGAGTCGATTTAAAAAAAATTATTGAGCCAATCGTTACAATTCTTCAAACACTTTCAAAATAGGCTCCTTCTGCGTCGATGCAGCGCTGTCAGCGCGACTTCCAAGCATTGAAGGCGTGACGGAAGGCATTCTCCGGAATAGCCTTGAGCCTCCTGAGCACTTCCACGTAAAACTCGGCGTTGACGGTTTATCCAGGAGGAACAACTTCATGTTGGACGATGCCTTTGATGTCAAAAAAGACAATGAGCATCGTTTTCATTTTGGATATGCTCATTCTTCCCTTTTTTTATGCGAGGAGACGCCGTCGTGTGCCACTTGGAAGATTGCCCCTTTGTTTCGGGATCATACTCAAAGATCCACGACTCGTCACCTGTGATTACGATATTCAAAAATTGGGGGTCACTTTCACACATATTCAAATTTTCTTGGCACACTTTCACTCGCCGCAATTTCTGGTCGTCAGCGAGCGCTTTTGGGACCATCTTCGCGCACACCTTGCGCATGTTCAAATGCTGTGTCATAATGTCATGAACCGCAGATTTTGGTAAATTTAACATCTGGGCAATTAAACGAATACTTGGTCGACGGTTTGAGTTCAAAACTTTGCGCACACGAGTCACATTATCGGTGTTTGTCGAAGTCGAAGGTCTTCCAGTACGGTCTTCATCAGAGACCTCTTCGCAGCGCTCCAAAAAGGCCTGTTGCCACTGAAACACACCACTTCTTGCTAAAGCAACACCTGGGTAAGCCTGCTTCGTCATATCAAACGTCTCTGTCGCAGATTTACCGAGTTTCACACAGAATTTAATCGCGTACCTCTGCTCTAACAAACGCTACAGTTTCGGCTTGCACCACTCACAGAAACACGTCGCGCGAAAATGCCTGTCCTGACTCTCCAAGTGCTCGGAGACAACTGACCAGCCGCTCATTCGTTAGCTAGGAACGCCCTCTACCGAATCCAGTCGGTGGCGGAAGAAAATAAGTCCTATTACTTTCCGGACAAACCCTGTATAACCTTGGAATATACTCGAATTTAGCACCACACATACACCCCCGCTTAGAGCTTCTTTATGCACTAGCATGTTTCAATATATTATGTCAAGAATTGGTGGTGTTTTATAAACGCAGTGTAACAATATGTATTTTGAAGCAAATTGATGTTTCAAATACAATGTCTTATTGATTGAGTCTATATTTTGACACAGGCGCGTGCGCAAACACAATTTTGCACAGCTTATGCCTGGCATCACCCCTCTCTCTAAATCAACCGTTTTACATAGGAATGTCGAGGATTTTTATAATTGAACTACGACGAAGGCTAAACACCCATGGGTACCGTGAAGATATAGAAGGATACAGAGGAAAGCGGTGGAGGGGGCGCCTCGCGGGCTCTAGCGAGGGAACACGTGTGCATGCAATATGCATGCATGAGATCGGCCGGGTGGTACCTCCACGTTCGTCAGATGGAGACCGTCTATCTCCTACAGACAATCACAACATACAAAATCAAGCGAAAAATTATCTTGGGACGGGGTTCGGATCCGCGCAGTGCACGGCGACTGATTATATTAGTAGACCCATAACGTCTACCACTACGCCATCTCTGCTCCCTACTCCGATCTGTTAAAAATTTAGTCAACTGAGTTAACATCTCACGAAAGTGCATCTATAGTAACTTTTTAGGAAAATTATGCCTGCAATTACAACACAAAGTTGGTTGACTTGGTCGTCTTAGAAAATTTGGCACATTTTGCCAGTTCTTGCACTCCGTTGCAAAAAGAAATTTACGGAACTAAATAAAAAACGAGAATTATTCGTAGACCACGATAATGAGGTGATTCTACTTAACACATTTGTAGCGCAAAACCCTATTCCATTCCTGAAAAAAAAAAAATGGGATATGATTTTGGAAAATTTACGATTGCTTATTGGACTAATATAAGATATTTAGTAAAGGAGGAAGACAGTAAAGCCAAGTAAGTGTAAAAAAGTTTTTTAACTTATACAGGGTGTCCCAGAAGTCGACGTCAAGCCGAAACCGGGTGATAGGCAAAGACATAACAGCTATCAGAAAAATATTTAAAAAAATTGTATGTATGTGTTTTGAAAATTATAGGTCTTTGAAAAAGATATAGAAATTTCACACCCTAGGGTGTCTGTCAACTCCTGTTACTACAAATATTAACTTTTTTTGGATTTTATTTTTACAATGTAATGATGAATAATGCATCTTCAAACTGGTGTCTCAACCTTACTGCCAAATTTTCTCGTTCAGGAAAAATTGCCACTTATTTCAAAACCAAGTATTCCAAAGTAAAACTTTGCTCAACTTTAACTGGCTGTACTGGAAAAAAATGTACTACGAGAGTTTGGCAAGCAACCTTAAAAGTTGGCGCATTTAATAAGGATTCCAAAATGGTATAACACTTAGAAGATTACTCGTTAACTTATGCACAATTTTTATTTGGAGAAAAACTGATGAAAATTTTTCAAAATTTCCTAATTAAACAGCGATTATGAAAACGCACACGGAACCTTAAGGATAACTGTTTGCCCAACAGTGGGCGTCAAAATGCTGCTGATGATGATTTACCTTTACAGCAAATGCTCAAACAGTTTTCCTTCAGCCGCAATACACGCTCGACAAAAAAAATCTAACGGATTCAAATCTGGTGACCGGGCTGGTCACGGTATTGTACCAGACCGCCCTATCCATCTGCCTGGAAAGTTTTGATCGAGATACTCTCTCACTGAGAGTGCATAGTGCGCTGGGCAGCCATCATGCTGAAACCACATGTCCCTGTAAATACTCAGTAGCACGTCCTCCAATAAATTTTCTAAATAATTTTGCAAAAAACCTAAATAAATCTCAGCAGTCAAAGTCTCTGGGAACTCAAACGGACCGATTATTTTACCATTTAAAATTCCTGTCCAATGGTTTATCTTGAAGCGATATTGAGATTTATCTTCTCTCATCAAATGTGGGTTTGCTACGTGCCACTCGTGTAAGTTATGCAGGTTCATGTACCCATCTTTCTTAAATGTGGTCTCATCTGACCATGAAATTTTTTCAAAGAACCGTGGATCTTCCCTGTGTCTTTCTAACATTGTGCGACAAAAAGCAACTCGGGGGCTCATAATCCCGGGGCAGAAAAGCTTGAACACGCTGTACGTGGTATGGATGAAGCAAGCCGATTCAAAATGTAGCTGAGCTACGGCAAAGGCTATTGGAAGCAGCTGAGTTTAATAACCCGATCTTTTTTAAGATGTCGAGCGTGTATTGCGGCTGAAGGAAAACAGTTTGAGCATTTGCTGTAAAGGTAAATCATCATCAGCAGCATTTTGACGCCCACTGTTGTGCAAACAGTTATCCTTAAGGGTCCTTGTGCGTTTTCATAATCGCTGTTTAATTAGGAAATTTTGAAAAATTTTCATCAGTTTTTTTTCAAATAAAAATTGTGCATAAGTTAACGAGTAATCTTCTAAGTGTTATATCATTTTGTAATCGTTATTAAAGGCGCCAACTTTTAAGGTTACTTGCCAAACTCTCGTAGTACATTTTTTCCAGTACAGCCAGTTAAAGTTGAGCAAAGTTTTACTTTGGAATACTTGATCGGGAAATAAGTGGCAATTTTTCCTGAACGAGAAAAGTTAGCAGTAAGGTTGATACACCAGTTTGAAGATGCATTATTCGTCATTACATTGTAAAAATAAAATCCAAAAAAGTTAATATTTGTAGTAACAGGAGTTGACAGACTGCCGTAGGGTGTGAAATTTCTATATCTTTTTCAAAGACCTATAATTTTCAAAACACATACATAAATTTTTTTTAAATATTTTTCTTATAGCTGTTATGACTTTGCCTATCACCCGGTTTCGGCTTGACGTCGACTTCTGGGACACCCTGTATATGGATAAAATAAAGCGAGTTATAATGTCCCCTTTGTTTGCCATTATCGCTTCCATGACTTCTTCGACTTTAAACTCGTTTGGTAAATATATGGTCAAAATGGCGTCCAGTAGGTGAACTCTCCACTTCCCATGCAACGCTGTCATCGGTTCATAAATGATTGTTCGGCACAAGTTAGTCCCCCTGAGGAAAGGTTAGCTACATGTATAACGATAAACAGATCCATTCAAATAATCGATAGACCTTTTTCCCAGCGGCAGCGACAGTGCCGATCATCTGGCTACTACTACCCTCGTCAGTAGCACAGAAAGTAAAAAAGTGACGTTATGAACAAAAGCGGGAAAAGTGAAATGTAAATACGTATCGCGTGATATTCGCCTGAGACCAGTAAGCAATATCACTTTAATAAATTGAATATGTGTCATAAAACTGTGTGAAATATATACATTTATGTATTATATGAGAAATCAATGCTGTGGAATCTTAAATGATCATCCAAATCTATCCGATTGTTGAATACCGCATTACACTGAGTACATACGTTCAGCTCAGCGCTATTTTGTGTCCCAGTATGTTTCAGCGTATGTTTAGTAAGATGGCATTTAATAGTGGTTTTATATGTGCAATGATTACATTCATATATCTGTCGTGTAACTGATGCTGAGAACTCAGGATGTTTCTTAACTATATGATCATCTAAATTTGTGTTATCCCTGAACGTGGTATTGCAGTGAATACAAGCGCTCAGCTTAGAGTTACCTTCTACACCATGACGTTTCAATAAATGCCATGCCAAATAACGTTTAATGGTAGTTTTGTACGTACAGTGAGTACATTCAAGTATTTCGCGAGATATTAATGCTGTAAAATTAGGATGTTTCTTGACGATATGATCATCCAAACTTTCCCCATATTTGAATTCGGCATTACAGTGAATGCACACGATCAGTTCAGAGCTACTTTCAGCTTCAGGATGTTTCGACATATGCCTAGCAAGAAGATGTTTAACAGTGGTTTTAAATGTACATAGAGTACATTCGTGTATCTTACGTGTAACAGATGCTATGAAATCGGGATGTTTCTTAATTATGTGATCATCTAAAGTTATCTTATCTTTGAATGTCGCATTACAGTGAATACACACGCTTAGATTAAAGTCACTTTCTGCCTCAGAATGTTTCAACATATGCCTTGATAGAAAATCTTTAATTGTTGTCTTATACGTACAATAAGCACATTCAAGTATTTGACGAGAAACTGATGCTATAAAACCTGGGTGTTTCTTGGTAATATGCTCATCCAAGCTTTTTCTATATTTGAACTCCGCATTGCAGTGAATACACACGCTCGGCTTGAGGCTACTTTCGGCCCCAGGATGATTGAACATATGTCTAGCAAAATGATGTTTAAAGGTGGTTTTATATCCGCAATCAGGACATTCATGCACATTACTTGTAACTGATGCTGAGAACTCAGGATGTTTCTTAATTATATGATCGTCTAAACTTGGCCTATATTTGAATTCCGCTTTACAGTGAATACACACGTACAGCTTAGAGCTGGTTTCTTTACACATTACAGCATGCTGCTTTCTCGAAGATTTCCGCTTCAGAGCCCTGGAAGAGACCCAATTATTATTGTTTGTGACAGCACGTGTAAGTTCAAATATGTTCCGCACAAGCTCACGGATGATCAAAAATTGCTTTGAATTCAAAATTCGAGAGACATCATTAAAGAGGCCAAAAAAAGACAAAAACTCTGTATACTTTATCTGCAGTCACTTGAAACACTGTGAAATACCGGGTGCGTTTTATATATCTATATTTAACACGCTCTGTTGCTGCAAAAATCGCCAAATTTCGCAGTATAAGATTAAAGGCAGTTTCACCGGTCCACGTGGAGTAAAGCACGCCTATGCGTGGACATAGCCAATGAGAAAGCGTGTATTTCAGAGCTCTGAACAAGTGCAGGTGGCTACTGAAAATTGAAACAGTTTAGCCAGTGCCGTGTAGCGGTGAATAAACGTGTTTTCTTTAGTCTGTCCGTGTTTTTTCATAGATTTTATTAGTTTGTGTGTTTTTGACTTTTGAATACTCAGTTTACTTGTTGATTTAATTGTTGTGTTGATTGTTCTTGTGTGTCCTAAATATGGCTCTTTGGAGACCTTGGGAAAATGCTCCAAGCCACGAGGAGATGGTTGATGAACCTGTGCAGGCAGAATTCTTTCATAAAGATTTAGAGGAACAGACCCAAAGAGTAATCCTAAATATGTATGATTGTCTGAAAAACGAAAATCCAGATTCCTCGCAAAATCAAATTTTAATCAGAATTTGTATCCTGACAAAAATCAGTCGGTCTACCATTTATCGGGTTATAAAAAGGGGAGATATCATTCCTTCCACAGAAAGCGCATAGGGCAAAAATTAAAAAGAATAGACGTGGGTTTTCAGGAAGATATTCGTCGTATAATATACGGATTTTATAAAGAAAATTTGGTGCCCACGTTGGAAATGATACGGGATAAATTAAAAGATTATCCTGAAGATTTTTATAATTACAAATGCTTAGACTCGCTGCACTGTATTGTAAAACTGTGTGGTTTTCAATACAAAAAATTAGATAAAAGAATGGTGATTATGGAGTCGTCTCGAATCATTGAATTGCGCCAAGAATTTTTGCACAAAGTTAAAATCTATAGAGAGCAGAAAAGAAATCTGATTTACCTGGATGAAACGTGGTATGATACCCATGATGTTGTGCAGTACGGCTGGATTGACGACAGCAACATTACCATGTAACCGTGGAAAACGAATCATTATTCTCCATGCTGGCAGTGAAAATGGATTTATACCTAATGCCTTGCTGTTATCTGCCAAAAATATCAAAGAATCATGTGCCGACTATCATGAGGACATGACCTCCGACTTATTTGAAAAGTGGATAGAGCAGCAGTTAATACCAAACATTTCCCCAAATTCAGTGATTATTATGGACAATGCGCCATACCATTACCGACAGAAAAACAAAATTCCGAATACAGGCACAAAAAACAAGACATTATTGATTTTCTGAAGGATAAGGGAATGGAAATACCACAAAAATCAACCAAAGCCATATTATTGGATCTTATTAAAAGACAAAAATTTGAAAAAGAGTATGTTGTTGACAATCTGCTTCAGCAAAATGGCCATGAAGTATTACGTCTACCTCCCTATTACTGCATGTTTTAACCCGATTGAGTTGGTCTGGGCTGCAGTGTTCTAGGCATATTATTGAAAAAGAAAATGAATATTGTGTTTTGCCTCCTGTAAATCCCGTTGTAATTCCTCTACAAGATTACTCTAGCGACAGCTCCGAAGGCGGGGATGATATATAAATACCTATAATGTAAGTCTTTATATACCTACCTGCTATGTAAATATTTGCCTATGTCAAACGTTGGACTTCTGTAATTTTTCCATTTCTTAACGTTCAGTCAACATAAATTAAACTCCCAATATAAGTATTTTTTATCCCAAATCAAAAAAATAAGAAGATAGTAAAATCCATTTATTGTGATATAAAAACATTATTATTATCGTTCTAAATAAATAACCGCACGCCTATGATACGTCATGAAATTACAAAGGACGCGCCGACCAAAGGTTTTTATGCTATTTCAAGTGACTTCAGATAAACCATACAACATTGTGACTGGTGAAGAAACGTGGTGTTTTCAATACGATCCCGAAACCAAGCGTCAAAGTGCCGAAAGGAAGCATTCAAGCGAGCCGAATCCTAAAAAAGCCGTTGGAAAAGACCAAAGTGAAGACAATGTGACTTTTTTCTGCGATTCGAAAGGAATTATTCACAAAGAACTCATTTTACCAGGCCAAACGGTTAATACTGTGTTTTATCATGGGGCGTTTGCTGTCGCATATTCACAGTGTTCGGCCAGAATATCGCGAAGAAGGAAGCTGGCGCTTGTTGCACGATAATGCACCATCACATCGATCGACGCTTGTGTCCGTCTTTTCGACAAAAAGTCGCCTTTTAACCATCAACCACTCCCCATATTCTCCTGATATGGCACCGTGTGAGTATTTTCTGTTCGGTAAGCTACATTTGGCCATGAAGGGACAGCGGTATGCCGACTTAGAGACCATCCAAAAGACGTCGACGACCATTTTGAAGGACATCAATTCTTTGTGTTAGGTACACCAGCGTGTTTACACAAGTCAAAAGAAAAAATAATACAAAACGCAGTCTGACAAATTAAACAGAAATGCATCCACTCATGATATGATGCATTATCATTCAATAAAAGCAGATACAGCAAAGCAAGTCTTATAAGTTGTAAAAAATAACAGGAGGACATATACTTGTATGCGTACATTCATACAGGGTGCGCCATCTTTTATGTCGGTATGTAAACATGAAATAACTTTGAAAACGAAAAACTGATTTCTATACAGGGTGACTTTGAAGTTGAGTCATTAATTTTCAGATAATGATTGTAGAAGGAAGATAAACCAAAATATGTGTGTAAAAATAAAAAAAAAATTAAAAAAAAATGTTACCTTGTTTTATAAAGCATCCTCCCGACAAGTATTTCAGCGCGGACCTGTATTTGATCGTGCGGTCTTGGAGCACCGGCATGCGCTCACCTGTGAGGTCTTAAGTCACCTGATTCACGAGCCCTTTGTACTACATTAACAAAGGCACGAGAGGTTGGTTGCACTCGATTGGGAAACCGATTCGCATAAATCCGTGATGCATCCGGCAGCATTTTGTAAAGACTGCCCCCCCGTAAATAAGAATCATGTCCACAAGTTCAGCATTTTCGTAAACATATGCCATTTTTCATTTCGTTTGAGTCACGCAACAAACACCACTATTCACTCACGCGTTACCGACTGACGAAAAACATCGTGATAAACGTTTCAAATTCTTTCGCTTTTTTGTTTCCGATGCGATGAACCGATATCCGTTGTTACCAAACACGAGCACATAATATTATTATTGAGACGGGCGGTACTCAAACTTCTAATGGGCTATAACTTTGTTACTTTAATTTTACCAGAAAAATGGTAAAGGAAAAAAACATTTCTTTTGATCAGATCTACTCACTGTTAAAATAAATTACTCAACTTCGAAGTCACCCTGTATATGAGGTATTTGTATTAAATATGGTCCAATTTATTGGGACTAGTTTTTGAACACAACATCTATCAAGTGACCACCTTTATTAGCCAAAACAAAATGTGCCCGTTTTGCTGCGTTTTCCATTACTTTTTCGAGCATCTCTGGTGGTGTAGCGGCGATGGCAGTACGAATGTTTGCCTTGAGTTCTTCAGTGGTCTGGGGCTTGCTGGTGTACACTTAACTTTTCAAATAACCCCACAAGAAGAAGTACGGTGGGGTCAAATCTGGAGACTTGGTTTGCCAGTCAATGTCACCTCTTTTTGACATCAGTCGTCCAGGGAATTTTCGTTGCAGAAACTGGATTGTTTCATTTGCAGTGTGGCATGGCGCACCATCTTGTTGAAACCAGTAACCATCAAGACCTTTTTCACGCATTTGCGGGCAGACATAATGAGCCAACGTCCACCGATATCGATTTCCATCGACTGTTTCGTTTTCGTTGAAGAAAATGGCCCAATGAGGGTTTTGGCGCAAACGCCGGCCCAAACAGTCACTTTGCGGTCATGCAACGGCATTTCGTGGACCTCATGTGATTGACGTTTCAGAAACACGTATAACCAAATCACCTGGTTGGTAAATATCAGTCATTCGACGTTTCAATACCGACATAAAAGATGGTACACCCGGTACCTACACACATATACATACATAATACATAAATATGTATATACACCCATAAATGTACATTAAAATGGTAAAACATATAAAATATTGATATAAAAATTCACAAGATAACTTATGTTAATACACGGTTCAAAGAGGCTAGAGGATCCCAGGTGTACGAACACTGTTATATTTGCTAACAATCCGACAAGTCTGAAAAATTGTTGCATAAATAATCCCGATCAATGCGCTAAAATCATCATTCCAAAATCTTTTAATCCGTGCAAATCGCTGTATTAACTCTGAAGGAAAATATTTCGGATAAATTAAATTCGATTTTCCGAAACAAAAAATGTAAATTTTTTTTCTTTGTCCTGTTTACTTTGCGATAGACCCTGGATAATTAATCCATATAAAGTTTTCCCAGCCGCACCGACAGTGCCGCTCGCGTGGCGATGTGGCAACTGGCTATGACTCACCTCGCCGTATGTAACGACCACTCTCAGTCGCGACAGCGTTAGGGTACGGACATACCGAAGATGCATGGATGAGCGCGGTGGAGGTTGCGGTCGCGGTTCACATCGATGCCTGGCAAAACATGTCGAAGATGCTTTCCTTTCAGTCAAAGCTTTCGGCATTCAGTGTTCTTTGAGGTGTCAGAGGAGACCGACGTAATTCGGAAAATTTTAAAGTCTTATTATTGAATACTTAAGAATGAATAGAAGCAACAGTAGTGACGATAGTGAGTGTATGTCTGCTGGTGCAAAGTGGTGGATTATATGTAATTCATCAAATCGCAGGTTTAGTGCTCATCCTATAAACCAAAAAAGGCAATATCTTGGGGAATACCATCACTTGTTTAAAGAGCTTCAAAATCATCCTAAGAGATTCCATGCCTATATGAGAATGGGTTTAGATACCTTCCAGTATATATATGACAACATAAAAATGAAAATTGAACGTTCCAATTATAATAACTATCATACGAACCCGATTTTAGCTGAAGAAAAACTGGTAGTGACAATAAGGTAAGTGAAACTAGATTTTTAATTTTAATTTACATTTTTAATTATTGTAACTTAGTTTAGTTTAAACGTGTATAGTTGTTTAAAGCGTCTAAGTCCGCTGAATTCTGATTTTGTCATATGGATGAGGGAAATTCATATGGCAGAAAAAGCTGCTTACTCCCAAAGTGGTTCATGCCGAGAAACACCAGCGTCTGCTGATTTGAAGGATATAGAATTTCAAATAAATAGTTCTGCATATCCATTCGAAACTTTAATTTATCTCTAGGGGTCAATGTTTTCACATAAGGAAGAAGGGAGTTGAAAAACCCTATATCATCATTGGGGTCCTGGGAAATTTTAATTTTTTATTTCTTTTTCAATGTCAACTAGCCGTCTCCCAATTTCTATTTGTGGCGTTAGTCGCCGTTTATAACCCGTTTGAGAAACTGAGTATTTTGAACCCGAAGTAGTTGAGGTTGTTGCAGCCACATCTTGTGATTCCACTCCCTTGCCAGAACATGCCTGTTGTGATGCTGTTTATGGCGCACAACCTTATAACAACGACAAATCACAACAAACTAAAAAATAAATACGTTCCGCATTCCCTACACACTGGAGAATGCCACGTGATTGGAAGAGCACCAATAAACGTGCAAGTTTACTTCGCGACAACAGCTCGATCGCCATATAAAATCAAACTATAGTGTATTTACACCCAAGATAGAATGGATGCGTGATTGCCAAAAGCAAGGACGGCGTACAGGGCCGCATTCAGGGCTACGTCCGAATGATGGACTACCACCAACGTGTTGTAAAACAAAGATGACAGTATTTAACAGAAACTTAACAAATTACTCAAATACGCTGAACAACAACAAGAGCAACAACCAAGCAAGGTGAATACGAAAACACGAGCACGCAGTGATACACGCGACGGTCGGTGGCCTGAATGCAACTCTGCCTGCCCTGCATGTGCGCCGCGCATTATTCCGCCAGGCGACCGCTTGAAATTTAATGGCGAATTGACCAATAAGAGGCGTTGTCCCCACCTGTTACCGAGAGATCACGCGCTAACAGTTTATTTTGTTCTGCTATCGACATCGCTGTAAACCGCGTTGATAGGCGGCGAGGGTGAATGGGTGAAGCATCATTGGTATGTGCGGTCTTAATAAAATAAAAGGTTTGTTTTGAGATCGATGTAACTATCGCGACCGCGACCTCCACCGCGCTCATCCATGCATCTTCGGTATGTCCGTACCTTTAGTTTCCAAGTTATGCACGCGCCAAGGATTAGCAAACAGACCGACCGTCGGGACATCAGTGACATGGTTTTTCGTGGTGTACACGTCATATAACATACAAAAAACAATATCTCATTTCAGAACATTGCCGCGTATACAATACTTCCCTTGCCAGTAGCATAGGAAGGAACAAAGTGACGTTTAGAACAAAAGCGGGAAAAGTGAAATGTATTACCATCAACATTTGTGCGTATCTAGGCATCCCAAGCTTGTCTTAAGATAAATTGAGACAAATATTACAAGTATAAGGTTTCGCAGACACGCACTGACAGGGACTGAATTATCAGTAAATACGGATCGCGTGATATTCACCTGAGAACAGTGAGCAATATCACTTTAATAAATTGAAGATCTGTCATAACTGTGTGAAATACGTAGTATTGTCATAACTATCTTTCAAGGTAATTTTATGCACATTTATGTATCTTATGAGAAATCAATGCTGTGGAATACACACGTTCAGCTCAGCGCTATTTTGTGTCTCAGTATGTTTCAGCATATGTTTAGTAAGTTGGTATTTAATAGTCGTTTTATATGCACAATGATTACATTCATGTATCTGACGTTTAACTGATGCTAAGAACTCAGGATGTTTCTTAACTATATGGTCATCCAAATTTATGTTGTCCTTGAACGTGGTATTACAGTGAATACACGCACTCAGCTTAGAGTTACCATGACGTCTCACCAAATGCCATGCCAAATAACGTTTAATGGTAGTTTTATATGTACAGTGAGTACATACAAGTATTTCACGAGATACTGATGCTGTAAAATCAGGATGTTTTTTATATATGTGATCATCTAAAATTTCCCTACATTTGAATTCCGCTTTACAGTGAATGCACACGATCAGCTCAGAGCTACTTTCAGCTTCAGGATGTTTCGACATATGCCTAGCAAGAAGATGTTTAACAGTCGTTTTAAATGTACATAGAGTACATTCATGTATCTTACGTTTAACGGATGCTATGAAAGCCGGATGTTTCTTAATTATGTGATCGTCTAAAGTTATATTATGTTTGAATGTCGCATTACAGTGAATACACACCCTTAGATTAAAGTCACTTTCTGCCTCAGAATGCTTTAACATATGCCTTGATAGACAATCTTTAATTGTTGTCTTATATGTACAATAAGTACATTCATGTATTTGACGAGAAACTGATGCTATAAAACCAGGGTGTTTCTTAGTTATATGCTCATCCAAGCTTTTTTTATATATAAACGCCGCATTGCAATGAATACACACGCTCGGCTTGAGGCTACTTTCGGCCCCAGGATGATTGAACATATGTCTAGCAAAATGATGTTTAAAGGTGGTTTTATATCCGCAATCAGCACATTCATGTACATTACTTGTGACTGATGCTGAGAACTCGGGGTGGTTCTTAATTATATGATCGTCTAAACGTTGCATATATTTAAATTCCGCTTTACAGTGAATACACACGTACAGCTTAGTGCTGGTTTCTTTACATATTACAGCATGCTGCTTTCTCGAAGATTTCCTCTTCAAAGAACTGGAAGAGACCCAATTATTATTGTTTTAGATAGAACATGTAAGTTCAAATAGTGTTTCATATTAGAAATATTCAGCACATGATAAATCAAAAGCCAAACATGAACTCAACTCATTTGTTTGGGAATACAAAGAAATTGCTTTTTAAGACAATATCCCATGATTTTAGGTTTAGAGTCGCGTGAAACTCAACTGTACTAAGGTATACGAATGAGGCTTGATGTGTTCCAAATGGGGTGTTTTATACAGACTACATAGTAAAAAGTGGTGTGTGCCACTATATTTTTTACCGCTGAACACGGATGTGAAGTTAGAATTGGGATCACTGGTCAAATAAGAAAGCAATTCAACACACACACATCTCTGGAATTGGAATAGCCTGTTGGGTAATTATGTATAAATAAATAATAAACATACTTTAGAGGCTTGTATCTCCCTAGAAAAGCCCCATACGACATTTTTCGACACGAAACGGTAACATTATTCTTTTATCTCCTATCGCTTACAAAAGATTGACATTTCATGTTATATCATTGAATATTTTATGTTATATCATTGGATCATCCATCTAATGTCATAAGTACTTTGGTGTCGAGTAAGAAGGACAAGGGTTGGAACAGCTTCTGCCACATCTTCTTCCAACATGCATCCTAACCATTGCCTCATTGGTTGCATGCAATTTAAAGTAGTAAAAAATGTGTCCTACCTTTATCAACATCATTCAATATAGGTTTAGAGAAAGCTGAAGGAAGGTATATGATTAGCAATTAAAAAAAAATATTTACCTATCCGAAGCTGTTTCTGCACCTGACTCGTTCTCATCTTTAATGATGTATTCATGGCTGATTTGAGTTTCTTCAGATTTGACGTCCAGATCATTTTCTAGCTTCATACTTCCTTCCTTCATATTGAAAGCTTCACCGTTGAGATCACAGGTAACTGTAGACATAACATCAGACTGTTCATTTTTTATTCTGAAACAAATAGAACGTTGATAGGCGTTCTGAAAGTGTTTTAAAAAATGAGTTTTCAGGTTCAGAAATTGTTAATATGACATTATCTGCAAAACCAAAAAAGTACTCACCTATCCAAAACTATTTCAGCACCTGAATCATTCTCATCTTTAACAATATAGTTATCAGGGATCTGAATCACTTCAGATTTGATGTCAACGTCATTTTCCAATTTTATTTTTGTTTCTTGTATATCAAAAACTTCCCCACTGAGATTTAAGTGTTCCATAGGCTCAGCATCAGATTGTTCATCTTTTATTCTAAAACAACATAATTATGGTTTTCACTGACCCTATTGAGTTATTTAGAGGGTAAGTTTGCTCTACACTGGTTAATACCATGTGACTGCACTAAAATGTCACAGAGCTCTTAAATGACATGCATAAGGATCATACCAAGAAATTCAGTTTTCACCAAAAGCAACCTGATTTCAAGAGTCTCATTTTGAGCTTGTGGAGAAAGTCACAGGCTTACTAATAAGAACGTGGAATAGGAATAAGCTAATTTGGTCCATTTAAAAAGAAGATCGTATGAGTAACGTATTTCATAAATAAAAAGGATATGAGGAAAGTAACAGCTAGTATGCAATTATTTCTTGACTTCAATGGTTACATTACTGACTTGCTTTTTACAATTGCAACTCCCCTAGGTTTTTGACACTGCTTCTCCAGCTGAATCATTCCAAACAACACAGCCATGGGATGAGGAAGCAATTTTAATTGATCATCACTGATTTTGGGGGATACAACCGGCACGGGTATCACGTATCTTGAAAAGTGACATTATGCCGATTTTTTTTTTGACATTATGCTGTTTTTTTGTACCTGTTGCCTAAACGTCATCATGTTATCAATCTTTGGTTCTAATGTGATGTAAAATCTGCTTCTGAGATGACATTACTGGAGGTTTAAGCTGTAAGTGGTATGTCAATGTCGAATTACAAGCCGAATACATGCTACCAGTAATTACACATAACGCGGGCGCGGTGATGATTTACCGTATTTCTCCTCAGTTTTTCGTAATTTATAACTTTGAACATAACCTCTCTTCAGAAAGCACAACATAAAAATAACCTGTCAAGCACAGCCAATAGATATACTTCATTGGCAGCATATTCGGTAATGATTTTCTCACACAGCAAATATGATTTTATACACATGCAGACCAATACACATAATCATCCAGATGAGATCTTGCTATTCAACCAACTTTCTTTTCAGAGATAAAAACTCCAGACTAGGACCACTCAGCCTCATTAAACACATGCAACCAATAATGCGTGTAGTTTAGTTGAGTGATTCCTCCATAGATAGACGTTCACAACGATCCTAGTGAGCAAACATGGAACGACTGTTTGCGTCCTAAAAACTACCTAGTTTGCAAGATGTCACCTTATAGGTTTTTTTTGACGTTTTATAGGTTTTTTACATGATACCCGTGCATTATTATTTGAAGTGTTACAATGACATTCAAGGATAACTTTTACAAACTGGTGGGAACGAGAAACTGCAAGCCGTCTAGCATCTTTTTGGTGAGAATGTTTGTAGTTGAATATATCTGCTAAGTCAGGTTACCGTCACGTTGCGGTTGCCAGTTGATTTTGGTGGTATTAGCTCCTATATTTTTGGCTCACAAAATATGCTAATTTTAGGAGGTAGACATTTCTGAGGGGGACCCAAGACAAACAGTTACCTGAGCAAATCTATTCCATCTTTATTTTCATAATCCTCCATTTCCCATTCCCAGGTAGGCTGCTCAACTCCAAATGATTCACCAACCACCTCTGTTGGTTCCTGTTTAACCTCTGCATATTCAATTTCCAATGGCTCGCTGGCATGTGCTTCACTTTCCATAGTTATCTGATACAAATTTTTTAATGAAACCAAACTTAATATTCTGAACTATTTGCTATATTATTTCTACTCCTAATTGAAAAAGCATAAAATTCAAGTTAATCTCATACATTTAAAGAAAACTCTGGCTCGAGACTATATAGTGATAGGATTTCATTTTTCACTATGTCTTTAGTTTGGATGAGCACTATTCTCAGAAGGTGGTTCCAAATGTCCTCCACATTGCTTTTGCTCTAATAATCTCCAAAACACCTTTTTAATAATATAAATATTTATTGTCACAAGGTACTCGTACATCATAGAACACCAAAAAAATTGCACTTATGCTTGGATTTTATAACTAAAAGTAACTACAATGCATGACTGAACAATGTTGACACTATATAACTTGGTGGGTTGATACTGGATTATGTCAAGTATTGTGCATCAGGTTAATAAGCCGCAGAAATATTGTTTTTATTGTTTCACTAGCTGACCCAACAGACATTGTCCTGCCTTAGCTATGAACTGGAATTAATAATTAATAATAAAACGGTAAATATACCTATACAATATAGGTAATTGTATAGCAAAGTGTTTATACCATGTGGCTAGCACATTACATTGGCAGCACTGTCATTCCCCCATCAACTTAGCTTGAAAGTAGGCATAAAATTATGTGGAATGAGTTTTGTTGCGTCGAATGACGTCATTTGAAAGCAATTATTGTATTGCTGTATATAGACAAGTTTGGTGTACAACCGGTCGCTCAGACGGAAATTAAAAGAAGAAAAATTGGTTAATTGCTTGCACCAGTGGCCAACTGGTGAATTAAAGAATACGCCTATCATCATCTGTTTTATAACCTGAAATTTCCATAGGAGAGCACTAACAGGGAACTGTAGAAATCTAGAAAAATATAGCAGCCTTTCTGACGCAGAGAACAGGCCATAAAGGCGTCCCACAATGATTGAAGGAACGACTAACAATATGGCCCTAAGATATAATTGGTCCACTGTAGACTTTAGTAGTAGTTTTTATGGGCTGTACCTATTATTTAAGATTTCAATTAGGATCAGAGATAGCATACTAGCAACTGTAGTGTAAAAAATAAGGGCAATCACCAACAAAGAAATGGAATGAGGGCTGTTGTCATATTTTCAGACAACCCCTTATTTATCTCCATAAAGTGCTAATGAAAATGTCACACTATTTGTTCCATCTACAAGTTTCATGTGTTGAAGATAAAATTTTTGTTGATGGGTGAAGATAATTCATGTTTAATTTTAAAATTACAAAACAGCATAAAAATTTTACTATTCTGTAAAGGACATGGTTGCTTTATGTCTCCAGTAACTATGACCAACTGCAAGCAGTACTGTTTCATGCTTATTAGCAACTCATCCGTACAGTACAGGTCCTTGAGACAGATGAAAAAACAGCTATGTGGATGTGGTCTTTTGAAATATTGTGTGCGCAAGTTGGTGGATATCCTAGCTCGACATTCTACGCTAGCGTAGACATGTCGCACCACATCATCATGATAAACATGTCAAGTGGTCGGCATATCAGGTTTAATAACAGCAATGACTTTTCTGTGCATATATGCATAATAGTTACAGCTGAAATGGGAATGTTTGCTTTCCGTCTCCTTTAACCATGACCAACGGTAGACAGCGCTGTTTCAGGCTCATTAGCGGTATAGGCCTTGCAGTGGAGGCAGACGAAATGGAAAGCAAACAAGTGGATGTGGTCTTTTAGAATACTGGAAATACTGTAAGCAAATAGATGGAAATCTGATGAACGCTTTCTACCAATGTTTACTATTTCTATTACTCACCACCAAATTTGTTGTTCCAAAACAGAAAAATCTGCTTACAATCAACAAACCTGATTAAGAAATCAGAAACAATTTGCAAACAAGAAATAGAAATATCACAAAACACAAAACAAGAAATATGGGAAAGGAAATATAAACCAAAGCCACAAAACGCCTAAACCACAGAACCTAGGCTGGCAGAAGTGACAATATACAGCATGTCCCGCCCACCACGCTTGTGTCCTGTGCTGAACACAGGAACGGCGTGCCGGATGCTCCGCTATTTGATTTTTGTTCGCCGGCGCGCATGACGTCACACGGAGAGTGATTATTTTTCATTTGGGTCGATATGGATAACGTGCATATTTTCACCTACAGGCCAAACTGCTGGACGGATTTTCACATATCAGGTGTCATTGGATTCGTCTCAGCGGTGCGAGTGACACTAGCTACATTGAAATTTTATAAAATACAAAATGGTGTTTTAGAAGGTGAGGTATGTTGGCCATCACAATTTTTTTTTCATTATTGTTAGGATTTCTGACTCCAGCACAGCTTCTACCATCACATTATGATGAGATTTGACCAGCAGTATTTTTGCCTTCATCATCTGTTTCTGCACACTTGTCATGCATAAAGTTAACCTAATTAGACATGCACTCAAATTAATTCTTGCATACAGATAAACCTGTTAAGTATACAATCAATTCAAAATTTTAAAAACTTACCTGTCTTTGGTTATGTCTTGAATAAGTTGAACCTTTGCCTTTTTTCGTAAGCACTTTTCCGCTTTTTCTCAGCAATAGATGTAGAAGGTCCAGGTTCGGTAAATTTTCCGTAGGAATGGCATCATCTTTTAGAGCACGGTAACTTTTAGGGTTGTAACCCAAAAAGGTATGTTTTAAATTGGCCTTATAGGCACTTTCACAAAAGTGCTTCGAGCAAACCCTAGCGCTTTTTACATTGACTTTGTCTTTTCTTTTTGTAAGATGTAGCCATTTTTTGCTAAGGTTTGGGTCTTGAGGAAATCTGTAGAACTTCATGTCTTTGCATGGATTCCGTTCAGACTGGTTGTCGGAATTACATACCACAACAGCACACCGCATTTTTAACAATTTGTCAACCACACAGGCTATATAAAGTATGTATAACTAATAGAACAGGTCACAAAACCACCAAAAAACACCAACGAATCGCACTATATAGTATTAACCACAATAAACGTCAACTACAGTAACGTTACGACAATCCTCTCACTCTCCGGGTGACGTCACGACGCTCCGCCCACATGCGCAATATCCTATCTTCAGTGTATGTGTATCGTGCAGGAACGGCCTCGGGCCTAAGACCCTCAGAGGATAAATAAATTATTTTTTGTGTATCGGACCTTTGATCTTGGAATTTCTAATATATCGATAGACCGGGAACTCTCACTTACATAATAAGTCAAAAAGTGTTGGGGTATTTAATCATTATTAGAATAAGCAGGAAAACAACAATTGCGACGACAATAGAGTTAAAATTTGCATATTTAGCACGACTTTTAGTACAATTTTGATGATTTTTAGGAAAATTTATACAGCAGGTACACTTGCACTATTTCTTGCCTCTCTGAGGAAAATTCCTGTGAGCGTCCATGTTAACACATTAGTAGACCATTTTCGATCAACCAAAGACTATCAAACTAAAAACCTACATACAAAAAGACTATTGTTCAAACCTACAACTGCATCACATAAAGTATATGAGTGTGTTCTGAAAAAGCTAGCTAACATTGTCCAGTGGCCCTATAGATGTCAGTAATGAATGTTTTTTGACTGGCACATACCCTAATAAATTTCTAAGATTATTTCAGTATTCAAGAAGTTATTGAAGGACGATATACGAGGGATGTCTTTTAAGTTTTGCATATGGAAATAAAACAACACGGTAGGTAGTTTTAAATGACTTTATTGTTTTTCGAAGTTTGCTGGCAGATCCAAAACGGCATTTTTGAATGCGTCAACTGCTTCTTCTGGTGACTGGAACCTTTGACCACGCAGTCTGTTTTTAATTTTCGGGAAAGTAAAGAAATCGTTAGGACTTAGATCGGGACTATATGGAGGATGGTACAATAATTCCACGTTTTCGTCCGTTAAATAGTGCCTTGTTTTTTGGGCTGTGTGCGAGCTTGCATTGTCTTGGTGGAGGATGATTCTTCTTTTGGGATTGATTTTTCGAAGCTCGGTGATGACTTTTGGTGGTATACCAAGCCGCAGTAACAGATCTTTGCTCATTAAGAGCAATTGTTGCAATATGACCCGCTTTTGACACAAATGTCGCGACCATCTTTTTCGAAACACTTCGAGAATGGATGACTTTTGTTGGCTTTTCTTCACCTTGGAACACCCAAACAGCCGGCTGTCGTTCTTTTTCTGGTTCATAACAGTAAATCTACGATTCATCACCACTAACAATGCTGTACACATTTTTCAACAGGTGGGGTATCCAACGAGAAACTAATTTTCTTACTCCTAATTCTTCATGTAAAATTTTTTGAATTGAGGTCTTTGAGATCTTCAAGGACGCCTCAATCTCGCGACATGTCACAAGTCTATCTTCAATGATGAGTTTGCGCACAGCATCGACGTTTTCCTGGGTGACTGCCATTTTTGGTGCACCCACCCTGGGATCGTCGCTAAGACTCACCCGTCCACGTTTGAATTCTCCATACCAACGGGAAATTGTCGACTGATGTGGCTTTTAGTTGCCAAAAACAGGCAGTAACTCAGCAAGGCATTCTTGTTGCGATAATTGTCTCTGAATGTTGTAATAAATTATGGCGCCAAAATGTTCTCGGTAGAGTTCCATTTTTCCAATGACTTGGTGACACTTAAAAATTCACTGTAGTGAGAACACTGCACGTATTGTTGTGAAACTTTTAATTTAAGTTTAATAAAGAGTGAAGTTAAGATTCAGTACTGACGTTCGATCCGCGCGGCCTACTATGTTTCTATATGTAAAACTTGAAAGACATCCCTCGTATGTCAGATTACAGACTGATTGCGATGCTATTTCATCCAAAAAGTTCCGACCAATTTAGCTTAGGCTACGTTTTTTACTGGAAACAATACATTTGTTATTAACCAATCGGTCCTCTTGCCAAAAAGATCAACAAAAGGAATTAGAGATCCCCTAGATACATTAATTAGCCGATGGGATAATATTAGTAATGTTTTGACCTGTCGAACCCTTAAAAGCATTGAAATAGGAAAATAGGGTCAGAGTTATCGCCAATGAACTAATACTTAAATTCAAAGTTGAATATGGTGATTTGTATTATTCTAAACAAGCCAAAATTGGCCTGGAGGTTCCACAAGGGTCAATCCTTGGACTAATTTTACTTTTAATTTATACATAGATAATCCATATCTAGAATAGCATGGTATATTGGTATTCCACTTTTCGAAATCCATCTAAGCTTTTATCTGCCAGACAACATCTTACAGAGAGCAAAATGAATTGAAAATATTAAAATAGATGTTGAGTGTATGTGCTTATACTAAATTAAACCACGATAAATACACAAAAAAACGGTTATTACTACAATAAATAAGTAGGTATAAGAAATCGCGACAATTTACACTGGGAACCAAATTTGTCTGACGGCTTGAGTTCGATGTGTACGAGAGAGAAGTGTGTATAGACACAAACGTCAGAACGATATAGAACCCAAGCTCATCACCGCGTTGCCTAGCAAAGCTGACTATCTGCCGCGTTATCAATATGTTACACCAGTTCCTTGGATTAAGATGCATGTTGAAAATAACCGTTAGCATATTCTCTACGCCCAAATAATGTTTTATTTTAACGTTTTTGAATTGTGAGTTCGAACCTGATTTGGATCGATTCTGGCACGGCTATCACGTATCTTGAAAAGTGACATTATGCCGATTTTTTTGACATTATGCTGTTTTTTGACATTATGTAGGTTATTCTACAACATGTTCATTTAGCACTTAGTTGTACGTGTTGCCTAAACGTCATGAGGCTTGTTATCAATCTTTGGCTTTGATGTGATGTAAAATCTGCTTCTGAGATGGCATTACTGGAGGTCTAAGCTGTAAGTTGTATGTGTGGATGATAATTAAATTAGGTTCTTGTCTCAAATACACTTAATTGAGATTCAAAGCTATAAATTAGTTGCGCATCAACTTTTTCTTATCCGTTCTGGAAATTACATACCTATACAAATTTGCTGAATTTCAAAAATGAGGGAGATAAGAAATAATTATATTCACTGTACACTGTCGAATCACAAGCCATATACATGCTAACAGTAATTACACACAACGCGGGCGCGGTGATGATTTCCCGTAATTCTGCTCAGTTTTTCGTAATTTATAACTTTGATCATGACCTCTCTTCAGAAAGCACAACATATAAATAACCCGTCATATTCGGCATATTCTGTAATGATTTTCTCACACAGCAAATATCACTGATTTTATACACATGCAGACCAATACACATAATCATCCAGATGCGATTTTGCTATTCTACCAACTTTCTTCTCAGAGATAAAAACTACAGATAAGGGCCATTTGGCCTCACAAAACATATGCAACCAATAATGCGTGTAGTTTAGTTGACTGATTCCTCCTCAGATGGACGTTCACAACGATCCTAGTGAGCAAACGTGGAATGACTGTTTGCGCCCTAAAAACTACCTAGTCTGCAAGTTGACATCTTATAGGTTTTTTGACGTTTTATAGGTTTTTTACATGATACCCGTGCCGATCAGGTGTATCAAAATTCATCTCAATAACTTCATTCTGTTTTTTAACCCCTCGTAACCTAAGTATAGCTCGAATGTACATACTTCATGTTATCAATACACAAATATTATGAACGCTATTGACAGGATATGCCTATATTTGAGCAAAGCCAGGGCCGATTAAAGCCAGAATACCTGTTTGACGGTTTTTACCTGACTATTTTTTTTAATTTCAGTCACCCACGCAAGTTTAGTCGCTTATTCGCGGAAAGTTGCTCGCGCTGTTGCTACATATACAGAATTGTCTTTAATTGGGCAATGCATATAAAACAACCTAAGTCAAGAATGCTGGTTCTATCGGCAGACATTGAATTGTTAGATTGTTCAAAATAAAGACCAACATGACGCACACAGGAAAAGAGGCT